CACTGTCTGAGTCGGAATGAAGAATGGTGGCAGGGCTCGCGCTCTCACTTATAAGCCCCATGAGGGAAAAACGTCAAAGTCTTGAATTCTGCGCGCGGTCGGCCATGCGTCGCATTCATCAAACACTTCCTACTATGCAGCCCCAACCGGATGATGCCCAGATTTTGTTTCGTGTGTTAGAGGCATTTACTGCATCAGCTCCTATGCTACCATCATCACCTGAGAAGAAACGCAATTCACTTCCGAAAACCAGTAGAGCATGTTTCTGATTACGCAGAAGTGCCTCGAGAGCGTTGTCGCGACTTTCGAAAACTGACACAAATATATGTATACTTAATCTAGGATCACATAGATCTATGTAGATCTTAATCTGGCACAAAACTTAATCGAGGATCCCGCCAGGGCGGTCAAATGCGATCTGTATGTCATACTTCGAAGGAGTAGAGATCTCGTGATATGATCTGTTTCGGGACTCTGGCTCGGGCTTTAGGTTGTGGCGGGCTTTCTGCTCGCGCTTGCTCTTTTCGGGGGAAACTTCGTCGATGATCGGGGTCCTTCGGGAGAGTGGCGAACGATTCGTCTCCCCTCTCGAAATAACCGATTTGCTTCGCCATAGGGGAGTATGGTCCCTTCTTCTTCTTGGTCTCTATTTACATCAATTACACAACAATAATAATTCCTGTGATACGCATGAACGACATGCTCCACGGTAACTGATGGATTTTACTGCCCTCTGTGCGATCGCAGATTATTCGGGACAGGCGGAGGCAGTTCTTCGGCAAACCCTGCCGTTATCAGCAGATGGCAAAGTCCCTTCGATGCAAAGCCTCGGACTTAGTAGCCTAGGACTACCTACTCTCGGTTAATGGAGGGCATACGGGGCTCCCTCTCCCCATTCAGATAGGCTAGGGGATCAATTATTCGAGTGTTCCCCTGCAGAACGTGAAGATAGTCATTTCTTGGTTATAGCGGGCACAATGAAGGAGAAAAAACATTGTACGCGGAATTCATACCGAAAATCTCGGAGACCGAGGTGAGGTGGAGAAGTAAATGTATTCACCGTGTGGGCGCTGAAAGCTCGCGCATCCCCTTTGGCCGAGTGAGCCTTGACTCATGATCTCGCCCGCCGAGGGACTCCGCACTGGAATAAGGGAGGGAGAGAGAATCATCATTTACTGCCTTATCGCTTAATATGGAAAACCTCCATTCCCAAACAGCAATAGAACGGATGACCTGTCTTTTAATCACTCTCCGAAACCGTGAATTGAAGAAAGCTGTCGTCTCGATAGATCCAGCCGGTTCGTCAGGATCCATTGTCAGATTTCGCAGTATTGAATGAGGGAGATGAGTTGTCACTTTCAAGTACGCCATGGATCTCTCAGAGTCTACTGATTGCTCGCGATGCTAATAGACATCCTCTTGTAAAAGAGATAGACTGATCCCACGACGAGAACTTCGAAGAGCGGATATTTAGGGGCGTTCTAGGCAACTGTCTATCTATCTTCTCTGTTATCGCTAAGAGAAACTAATGACTCGGGTAGAATTGTCCCAGCAAGCGCAGTGTAAACTCGATCACGTGTTAGCGGCCACCGAAACATTCAAGGTATGTGCCATCGCGACCTTGAATTGAGACAGAGAACACCCTCATTCGTTTAGTTACCCCCTTCGAGGCGTTGATCATGATCAGCGGACCAGTTTAAAGCCGGTGATGCGTTCCAGACGAGGAAGAAGCCTCGGAAGGGAGTCAGGTGATTCCATTGACTCCATTTGACGCCCCCTCCGCATCACTGTGAGCGATGATCGATAGGCAGTGTATGGACCAAATTAGTACACCTAAGTCATGCGGATGTGTTGGCATCCCTGAATTAACCACTTTCCGAAGGAACCTGAGATTCCCGGTGAATAGAGAGCGAATGGGCGGAACAGGCGTCAGACCGGAATCACAGCGTTGGTTTGTAAAAAAACGCCCTTGGAAAGATAGAGAGCGGGAACGCTTATCCTCTATAGCCGTTTATCCAGCCGATTGTCCGTTCGACTTTCGATCCCCTGGTTTTAGAGGAGAGGATCGGCGCTCATTGCGAGCATTCCGTTAATCTACCAATTCCTCATTTTAATTGTGGTCGGCGCCTCCTACATAAAGCAGCTCGAAGGAACCTGCTTGCGGCAAAGCCTCACTCCGCTGCGCATTCCGCTTCCACACGAAGTTTCGCCTTCCTGTGCCGCTAATAATTCGGTGAATCCAAATCGAGATTCTCTCTGCGCGTCAGGGTGCCCACGGAAGACCAACCGGCTCTGTTCAGTGATTCTGTTCCGTTCCAGAGATGCTTTTACACGTGCCATAACATGAATACTGTAAATGCATCATCTGGAGTGTTACTTTTTCACATCATCCACGTAGACGCGCTGAAAGCTCGTAGAGTAAGATCGATTTCGTTTCTCCTCAATACAACTTGTATTCTCGAGTACTGTCTACTTTCCGGTCTACACAGCTCAGAATTGATTGGCGCAATTCCCGAATTGCTGCAGCCCACCTGTATACATACATATGGCATATTCCTGATTATTAATGCTCCGAAGATCTTGATCAGGTTCTGGGATTCACGCCTCGCATCGCTCGCATAGTCCTCTACTTCACCAACTTCTGGCCGAGAATGCGTCGGCTCTCGTAAGGGAACATTCAAGCGAGAGGTCTCCTCTTCTAGGGTAGAGATAGCCAGATGTCGATCTTTAGATGGGAAGCTGAGGATCAGACGAGGGCTCGAGGATATCCGATCTCCAAGGCGATTTCGAAATGTTGATTATGCGGAAGACGACTCGATCGATAGCCAAATGGGTTTCAGCTGCCGCCATAGGGGCGGGGAAATCTCCGTTGTCTGCACTGTTCGCCGATGTTCGGAAGATCGATTCGACTTAGGATTTCCCAAGCCTTCTATCGCCTCAACACTCAACACTCGTGTTCCGGATCGCACTCCGCAATCGCACGAGTTTGCCCGCAAGTCATGCTCGGCACCATGGAACCTCGTTCGCCGGGGAATATGCGGCCTCGACCATTGGCTCAGATGTACCATATGCCACTCGGAAGTCTTGCGAAAATTCAGGCACGGATATAGAGAGCTCTCGAGAGCCTGTCGCACGTTCGAGGACGGAACCGGTCACTAGCTGTCTGTTCTTTTAATCTCACCCACCGGTCATCCTTGCGAGGCGTTCCCTGCCGCTAGAACACTCCGCTGCAGCGTCTCGGGACGGCAATATGTCGGAAGGCTGTTCCCCCTACCATGACACGGAGTGGAGTGGTTATCGATGTCATATCAAGATAGCTCACAGAATGACAATGCTTTGTCATCAATTGCTCCCAACCGTCCAGTCAAGGCGATGGGTTATTCCGGCTGTCACGGACTCGAGTATAAGAACATCCTCCAGGCGGCTATAACTGTGGAGGAGTCAGCCGTGGTCAGCTCTCCTTTTAGCCATGCTAGTGTTTCAAGCGAATCTTTCGGTTTCGGGATGAGTCCCGGCAGTCGGATCCTTCCGGTCTTTGTACGACAACTCATCCCCGGATTTCGATCCGATGGGATTATGCGTATGACTCATCTGAGAATTGGAACATCATCCCTCGGTTCGAAGCTCTCCTCTCAAAGAATATCTCGGTGAATGTCTCGGTCGCGAGGGGCGGCACGAATACCGTGGAGTTTCTTGAGCGGCAATTCTGATCCACACGTCCCCCGAAGCCGAGGCTCGCAAGGAAAAGAGCGCGAGCAAATCATCTGTCCGGAACCAGGGCACGGATGAAATCTCATTACGCCACGCTTAGACGGACGCAGACCACGGCTGTAAAAAACGGCTTCCAATCTGGCGGAGGGGGCAAGATCAAGTACCCAATCAACGTATTCTCTCTAATAGTGGGTTACCCCCGGCTCTAACTCTGATACCCCGACAAATCTGTCAGGAGTGTGCTCGCGCAACAATCCGTCGGTCATCCCTGTGCTAGATGACGGAACTTTGGAATGCGAGCTGAGCGGTTGCGCTCCCTCTCTCAAAGACGATTCGCCGGTGCATCTAAGTCGGAGTTCGAGGTGCCCCGCTGTTGGAGAGAAAACGGTATCCTAGGAGAAAACTCAGAGATGAAAGACACTCGTCCCCTCTTTTCGGGGGAACGAAGTGGCCTCGGAGACAGCATGGATCGTCAGATATACCGTCCGGGAATCCCCGTCCTCCCTCACCGTACTCCACATCATTCAAATGTGGCGGCACACTCGAGGTCCGAAAACGGCTTTGCAGTGAGCAGAGATGTATCTTCGATAGAACTGATACTTGAAACCGGACCCTTGCAGACTTTGGCGGAGACTCCGGAGAGCACGGACAGACTTTGAAGTCGGATATGAGGTTCATGGCCGTGTCAGAGATGTCCCCGCATCCAGTTGCCGCGCCTGAAGGCTCGAGTCGAAGTGAACGGCCGCTTCAGGCACAATAAATCGAAGCCCGCCCCCGACGAAATCTAGAATGAAGGAGAATGAAAAAGCCAGTTTTCTCCTCACCAGAGCATCAGGCAGTGTGGTTCTCGGGATCTTGGGAGCGAATCAAGCGGGGGTCGCGGGAGTCCGTCTCCCCTTAGCCCACAAGGTTCATCCGCTACGTGGGTCCCGAAGTGGGGCCTTTTGCTCTCTTAATTTCTCCTCGATATTGTGGGCAACTATACGATGCTCCGAAACGCTGGCTGCGATGGTCAAAGGATTTCTGTTAGGAACAATGGTTCCTTATCGAGAAACGTCGAGAATGCTTTGCGCCTGTCGCTTTCTCGAAAGGAGCAGTGTAGCGGTGTGACAATAGCGCATAACAAGACTTGGAGCAATCAGTCAAGTGAATGAACAATGATCAGTCGATCTCCCTTGGCACGGATTCGCTTTAGAGGAACAGAGATGATTATTGCGCTTCAAATGCCGGGGACTCTCTCTCAATCTCGATGATCATCCGAAAGCTGGAGGACTGCATGGAATCACGAATAGTCTTCTCGGTTCTACAGTGAGCGAATCGAGACAACGCCAGAATGGACATGAAGAAGAACAGAGAAGCAATTGATGGTATGGAGCGAACGGAGGATCTCGAGCACGCGGAGGGCGACCCCAATGATTATCGTTGCGGAGTGTTTTCATGGAGGCCTGGATATTTGCAACAGTTCGCGCGACCGATATACTTCACGCTCGTGTACATGCTCTATGGAATCTTCCAGGTTTGTCTCTCGAAACTCGACATGACTCAAATCGTTGCATCGCGGTGTTCCGGATAACAAGGTGCTATACCCCACAGGGCGCGATGAAAACCGGGCTCAACTCCTCTATGACAACCATAGAACGTAAATTCGGAATGTCGGGGAAGCAGATATCAGTGGTAATGATCATGGACAACATTACTGGCACCTTGGCGAGTTTGATCGTGGGATATTATGCTACGAAGGTCAGCCCAATATTTGGTTGTCTGCAGTTGATCGAACATGAGCGAATATTGAGTGACGGTGATTCTTGATGGATAGCTGCCACTTATACACCTCCGCTCATCAGATTTCTCGGCCGAAAATTTTGGTGTTCGGAGTGTGGATGTCGATTCTCGGCTGCATCTTCTTCGTGCTGCCGCATGTCATCTACGGTGGACTTGGTGTTAATACGTAAGTAGCTGTCATGTAGAGCCTAAGCATGTCGATGGGAGGGGGAATTCGGAACCTTTCAAACGTGGCCCGGAGCTCCTAGGTGGCCAGCCCGACGCAGCGTTTGTTCGAGGGAAATTCTTAATCTGTTACGCTTTTCTGTCGCTTTCCGACCAGCCGCCGAGACAACAGACAACGAACCACGCTCACTGCTCCGTTCAGGTGTTCACTATCTTCATCATTGAGGGCCATGTCGGTCATATGAGCCCTCAGTTTAGAAGACTGATTCAGAATCAGAAGCGTGCGGAGAGGAATGGCGAGATGGATAGGCCCGCCTCCGGTGGCCATTCCTAGGAACTGACTTCGACTTCGAGGGGATTCGGCTCTGAGAGATTCTCTCCCGCCGACGAATCTCGCGGGATGCCTAGCTCATACCCTTACGCATATTCTATTCTGAACTCAGATGGATCTGCCCAGAACCCCGTGAATAAGAAAACGGAGGAAAGAATGAGAAATGGAAGAAGGAACTTGTTCGGGTACTTCCGCGGATATTCCATTGGGCGGCATCGTTGCGGCTCCCCAAACTTGAAGCCTTATACAATCAAGGAGTTCCGATCCCCGCCCAGCTACATCTTCCAATCCAAGATGATTATGTTTCGACCGATTCTCGCGCGAGGTCTAGAACAGGAGGGCTGGGATTTTCGAGCCATCAATTTGAGCCGACTGAAGAGCTTACCCTAGGTCGGAGTCCATAGGCATCGTCTATGATGCTGGGAGTTGATGGAAGGGTTCCACGGCCCGATCATTCGAACCCTCGAGTCACGCGTCCTTCTGTCGAGCTCCATATTTTGATATCCTATCCGCCTAATATCAGCTCGGAGCTCATTCTTAACCGACTCATGTTCCAGAAATCTGCTCAAAACGTCCACCGCACGTGTCAACAAAGGACATTTCACGGAGTTCTGCAATCAAGCAAAGGAGCAGAACTTGAACGATTCCTTCGTCTTGAATGCCCCTCCTGCTTTGGGAGAGACGCGGTCGGTCGCGCTTCCAGTGCAAATTCTACTTTCCATTGGGAATATGGTTAATGGAATCGGTGGCACTGCTTTCTACATCGCTGGAGTAACTTACACGGACGACAATGTCAAGAAGAAAAATTCACCCATCTACTTTGGTAAAGCTCGATGGCGCGCTCTCGCCTTAAGCTTCAAGCTCGCCGTCGACAAACAACTCTTCGCGTCACGTTCCCGTCATGTTTCCAGGCGTGATAATGTCCCTCAGGATGATCGGACCGCTTCTGGGCGTTATAATCAACTCATACTTTTTGACTTTGAATGAACACCCCTTCAGTGAGTCTCTCGGCCTGAGTCAATGAATCGAGGGGGATCTCTCTGGAATGAGGTCTCACTGATCATTCAGAAATCCTACGAGTAAATATTCAATGAGATGCTCCAGAGGTTGTCGCATGTTCCCCAATGTTAGTGAGTATTCCCTCGAATTTCAGGTCCACCATCAGGAATGAGCAGTCGCGACCCTCGTTGGATCGGAGCGTGGTGGTTGCCCTTCGCCGGCTGGGGTGTCTTGATGACTCTCGTTTCCTTACCGCTTCTCTTGTTCCCGAGGAACATCCGTCGAGCCCCCGATCAAGTCAGACGCCCCGCGCGAATTCCCGGCACGACGGTGAAACCCCTTCCAAGATCTCTCCGGGATAAGATCGTAGACGATATCAAGGTATTTCCTCTTGCAAGGCCTGGAGGAATCCATGGTCGAATCGCTCTCCGGAAACGCCGAGCTTTGCTTGACGCCTCCTGGGTAATAATCCATAGAATCTTGATCAGGATTTCGGCAGAGGCCTGAAACGCCTTTCCAAGAACAAGATCTACATGTGGAAGTGCATCGGCCTTGTCTTCATCATGAATGGACTCGGGGGCCAGGTTATGAACTTGCCGAAATACATAGAGACGCAGTACCGAGTTTCAGCTGCGAAAGCCAGTCTCTTGACCGGTGAGTCTTTCCGTACGTAATCGAATTTATGAGCAATCAGGAGTCGCTCATATCGATCGCGGAACTGCCCCTATCGACAAAGAGTGGTAAAAAATTCCTCTCCCTAGGATCAACGAAGGTTCTAGCCATGATTCTAGCGATGATATTGGGTGGTTTCGCGATGCGAATTTTCAGACCATCAGCTCGCGCTATCTGCTTATGGGCGGTCGCGTTCGATATCGTGAACATTGCGACGATCATAACGGCCATATATCTGCCGTGTGACAATTGGAAACTCGGTGGGACGTCGTATATGGCGGACGGAAGGTTAGTCAAAGATTTGTCCCCGATGAATTAAGCATGGACGAGAGTCAACTGGGAAAATTTGGGCCTGCTGGACCTTGGGGCCAGCGCTGCATTCGCTGAGTCAAAAGTCTGGAGGATCTCCGGAAGACTGTATCGACGGCCTTCTCTCCACGATCCGACCACGAAGCTCTCCTCAATTTCTCCCTCATTCCCTTGAACGTCCTGCGGAGAGTTCCCGATTCGCTCCCGATGAAATCCGTGGTTATACAGTCAGGAGCTATGGGGAGGAATAGAAACTTGTGAACGGGTTCAAGCACTTCTTTTCCGAGCCCGTGTCGCGAAGAAACAGGAGCGGCCTGTTGGATAGGCCCAACTGCTCTGACACGAAAAATGCGGGGAGTTCATCGACCACGTCCCCAATGCGTTTGTCCACTCCCGACTGAGCAGCAAAATGCGAATTTCCGAGATTGGAAGGAGAAAATATCCGTGTACATCGAATGCTGAAGTGCTCATGTTCCAACCTTTTTGCGATCTCAAGATCCGAATCAGAGGCGTTTTTTTTTCGATTGGTATGGATTTCATCGGGAGCGAAATTTTCCACCATGAAAGTCTCGTGAGAATAGAGAGGAATTGAAGCTACGTCGACTTCTTTGGGAATTCGGTCGGCGACCAAACCAAGACTTCTGACATTAAAAATGTGTGCCTCAAAAAGATCTACACAACGCCGTGGACTTGTTCGGACTTCTTCGAGCGCAGACCGAACTATGGGAATCGCGACACACGCGAAAACAGTCCCTGCTCTTATGTTAGCGTAGACCCCTCTCACGTGTTCGGACATGGGCACACGGATATAACCGTGCTCTGTAGTCAGCTCAACACTTTTCATTACAGCCTGTCATTAACTTCTCAATGCAACGAAATCTGTGGCTGCTCGAATAAGTTCCAACCCTTCTGCGACCGGGCAATGGACCAATCATATTTCTCTCCCTGCCACGGAGGATGTTTCGGCTCAAATGTTAGTATTGTCAATGTTTTTCTCATGTGGACGATGCTATTCATATTGAGGATACAAAGTATATGGCATGCGTGCCCGTCGCGGCACTCGTTTGGGCTACGGGTGGGTACCGGTTCCGGGTTAGACCGCTGTCCTCAGGACGACGGAGCCACGTGCGTGCCTCTCAGTCCGGGTCCGGGAGGAGACCCGTAGATCCGTGAATCCACAACCTATGACCGAAAATACAAGGCAACCAATGAAATTTCAGCTGACCAGCATGGATTGCCAATGTCTCGACCCACCGAGTGGTAGTGAATCGTACACAATCACCGACGCTGCTAGATATGTCGGTGGGTTTTGTCGGAACGATTGCAGTAACCTGGCCGTTTTCATAATCATAACAACCGCCGCGAAGTTTCTGTGCACTCTACCGAGAGTGGGGAGCATGCTCGTCAGTTTGAGGTGAGTCCTCATTGGGGAATCGAGGAGCGGCTCTCATGAAGAATTTCCCGCTTATCTTTGCGATTGATACCCCATCTGGAGGGAAGTACCGTAGAGGACATTCCTCGAACGGGGATTTCTGCATTTCCCCGGACCACTGATTTCTGCATGAATCCCATAAATAGTGAGACTCCATCTTGAATTTGGACGAATCCTGGATCATTACAGATGTGTGGATCCCGCTGACAAAGCGCTCGCTATGGGCTTCACAGGTTTCGTCCTAAACATCTTCGGTGAGTATCTCAAGCTTTCTCAGGATGTTCAGAGAAGAGACAGTCTGCTTCCAAGCGCAGCTTTTAGCTAGAGAGCTTCCTTCCGTTTGGCCATGGAGAATGGATGGCAAGACTTCCGGGAAACCTAACATCCTGCAGGAATTGCATAGTCAGATCCGCGGAAAGAATGTTTTCTCCCGCACTAATCCCTCAAACCAGCCGCTTGCCTTAGACTGATTTCTGAGTAGGAGCGTCCCCCGCGGACACGGCTGCCCCGAATGGGAGCTGCTTGCATGGACATAAAAACGCCTCTCGAACGCGCTGATGATGGTTGCGGTGACGAGCTGTTTCGGACATATCCTAAAATACCATCAAATTTTTGCAGCCTTTATCCCATATCCATTAGTGTACGGCACACTATTCGACTCTGTGTGTCTCTTATGGGGATCGCGCGGGAATTGTTTGTACTCTGATAACGACCTCCTCAGAATCCGTTTCTTCGGCGTCACTTGCATCTTTTACTCTATCGGCACCGTGTGCCTTTGTTTCATGGCCTATTACGCCGCAGACATGGGAGATATGTACTCTGATGTAGCACCATCGGGATCTGATAACAGCGAAGAGACGAGAGCTCGCGCGAAAGAGGACGAAGCCATGTTGCCTTCACATGGACCTCGAGTTAACTGAAGGTTCGAGCTCTAATCAATAAACCACCGTGTGCCGGAGAATGTTCGAGGATGCATAGATGAAATTGATTACCGTGTCTGAGTATTCGCGAAGTCGAGGCTATCACCGCCAGTAGCCGGAAACCCGATGAAAGGCTCACGGGTTTCCTTTTCACAACCACACTTGTCGAAGGCCTCGCCCTCTGAGATTCGGCAGCGTGGTCACGTTCCATAATGAAGAGGAGACCCTTGTAAGACTCTCTGGAATGTTCTGGATGGGAGTAGATCTGTACTAGATTCGATGCTTGGAATCAAACTTGCTAAGTCCGTTCGATCTCAGGAGCTCTGCCTTACCCACTCATCTACGGGGCGCTGTTCGACTCAACTTGTCTCGTGTGGGGTGGTCGAGGCGGTAAACACGGTACGTTCCTTTGTTTCCTAGACCATAACTGGACCTCCCCGATCGCTCCGACGTGAGGGATATCCTCGATCGGTCACCGCGATTGTTTGTCCTTGACTAGAAATTCATTCGGAATGGGCTCCTGGCCTGATGGGTTCCATTGCCCATTACATAATATGATGAGCCCCTCTAAGTACAGCATTTTCCGCAGGAAACTGTTGGTACTACGACAATGATCTGTTACGACAGCGTTTCCTGGGTTTGACTGTTTTCTTCTACGGTTTGGCGGTCGGCTGTTATATCATGATGAGCTACTACGCCAAAGACGTCAAAAACTTGTACGAGGAAGAAAAAGTCGAAGTCAAAAAAGATGTCAACCCGTATCCGGAAACAGAGCTCATGGCCCCGAAACAGAACAGGCCTTGAAATAATTTTCAGGAATCGTTCTTGAATTTCCTTCATCTATAGGGGGACCACGGTTCCTCTGCAGATGATATTCGCGATTGTGATACCTTCGCCTTGTAAATTTTCTAAAAGCGAAACAAAAGGCCATCAGACGTCATAGGCTTGCTTCATGCATCAGATTCTGTTATTCTTTCGAGTCACCCATCACCACAGTGGAAACTCTCACGGGGAGCTTGGTGGGAGCGGCGAAACCTGTTCGTTGTGATGAATGCTCGGGGTAATGAATGTAGTACGAAATCAATTCGCATTTTAATTCAAAATACTCCTGTCCAACATCATCTCCATGGCAATGGAGCTGTAGGAAATGGGGAAGAGTGAGCCGTACTGGAAATTTCTGAACGGGAAAAGGAACGTGAACAGGAACAGGGAAAGGAACGGGGAGGAGGAGTGGGACAAGGAACGGGTCGGGCGGGGAATGGGACGATGAAAAGGAGCGTTAGTGGAACAGGATAACGAGCGGAAAATGATTTTTTGTGATGAATCTTCATATCAATAGTCTCAGACGAACGCCGGGGAGAACGGAAGAAAGGACGAGGTAAGAACCAGGAGAAACGAAGGGCGAAGGGATGGCAGAGGCTATGGGAAGCCATCCGTGAAATTCATGGGAAATTCGACAATCTATACGCGTGCGATCAATATTTCCTTCATTCTGCGCCTCACTGACTTAACTCAATCTCTTCTATGCGACAACACCGCGCCACCGGGCCCGACTATTAGAAATTTTTAGCGCCAGCCATGCCTGTCGCGCGTTGCTGAGAGCCTCCCCGTTTTAGCGTAGGACTCCGTTCTAGGGTTCGGCACGGAAAATTTACGTTTCTACCGTTTTCTCAGGAACGAGACGTCAAAAGCGTGAAAGTGTGATGATTGAAAAGATTCAGCGTGACTTTTTCCGTTCGAGAGGCATTCAAATTTTCTGGCAGAGTGCGTCTGTTTATAGTAAACATTGTATCCCGCCATATTCCGCACTTCGACCATTTTCAGCAAGACCAGACGAGGAAGTAACGAAGTTTACTCGAGCTCTGAATTCGGAGATTAAAAAAACGAAGTTCACTCAATATTGGGCGCAGCCTCCAAGAATTTCATTTCGTAGACTCAACGGTGTCGTTATGTCGACTCTACGTAGACGATGCGGTATGTACCTGACCCCTGAGTTCGCCGCGGGAAGTTTGCTGTTCTCGCTGATATTCCGACTAGCCGGTCGGCATATGCATCGGCATGAGATCCAGTGACTCCACGTTGCTGGAACAGCCATAGAACTCAGTGATGCTCGCTCCAAAGTTTACAATATGTCCACTGCTGGAAGTGGAAAGGAATTTCATCCACCCTTGGCTTCAAATCAAGCCTACATGATAACTTGTGATATTGACGTTGATGACAGTATTGTCTACGGGGGTATTGCAAATTGCAACACTGAAATATGTGGATTTTCTGAATAGTGATAATGAGATCAATGAGAATGCTGATGCGAAACCATATTGTCTCTGGCTAGATTTCACGGACAATGCTCGTATCGGAAACCTAACCCGAACAAAATACAGACACGCTACAATGTCTCGAGTCTCGAGTAGAACTGGATGCTGACTGGATCCCTCTCTTTAGAAAGAAAATAATCTTCGCCCTCCCTAAGGAATCTCAATTCAGATGCAACAGGTCTAATTTCCCCCATAGTTTAGCTGGAGCAATCACCACACACAAATCTCAAGGAGCGACATTTAGGAGGGTAGTCTTCAACTACCATAAGAGTTTCCAACAGCAGTTGGTTTATGTAGCTTCATTATATACCGAGTCACTAGGTTAGATGGATTATATATAAGGAACACGACAGAAGACTTTACCTTTTACCATGCTCATGGCACGACGATAAGGGCTCATTCTAAGGATCTCGAGACGGATCAATTACTAATGAATCATTATGAAACAGTTACGTTCATTGAAAAAAAAGAGATTATATATCGAATCGGGATCCCATGATCCTTGTGGAGATTTCAATCCCCCTATATAATAATCCCCCTTCCCCCTATATAATAAAAGCGCAATGTCTGCCTGACACCGGACCACTTTTTAGAGCTCTCCACCTCCGAACAGACCCCTTCTCCCGATCGATGCGCAATCACTCCAGTGAGGTCGAGATATACTTTTCTAACTGCTTGACCGCATGTTCTCCGTGAAATGTACGTTTTTCTCCAGTAATCGTTATTTTTCACAAAATGCAAAGCCGCTTCTTTGATGCCATCAGTACTCATCAGGTCACCTTTCTGACGGTTCTACGGGCACGAGACCACAGTCTACATTGAACTAGCTCTGCAATCGGAACCTGTATCAAGGAAGGAGCCTCTACTCCATTCGTTTCAGCGCTCAGCGAGCGTGTCGAGCGGCGTATCCCGGGGGCACGTTCCGAGGGGCTGCGGCTCTGAGAAGAGATGCCCGGAATGCCGTGAGGTGCCCATCATCCCGTGAAAATAAAAAAAACTCGTCCGCTTCGTTCGGAAGCGTAACCCCGCGCTAAGAAAGTACGCCGCAACGTTGGCCGGTCCCGTCAGGCTCCGGCTCTCTGCGCTTGGATTTGGAACCATGCCCGGTTATGAAGCGCAGTCAGACCTTTTCCCACTTCGAGACTTGAAAAATAATCTTCACGAGAATGAGCTCCTCCCAACACCCCTTATTCACGATAATTATGTAGTCCAGACTCAAAGAGGAACAAGATGTCTATTGCTTGCATACCCTTCCCCTTGGACAACGAAAAGCAACACTTGATTTTCTTAAGGCTGTGGGGGCGCGAAGCGGCCTCACGGCTATTATTATGATATAAAATCTGAGACCAAAAAAATGTCTTCATCAAAATTTCTCGATTCCGAATACGTGTTTCAGTTGAAGACACCTTCGCCAATTTCACAACAAGAGGTCAAACGTTTGGATTTGATCGTCACCCGAGATTGTCCAATTTTGGGAAGCTTCACCAACATAAGCTACTTCAATTATTACAAGCCAATCTTCTACGGAGTTCATGAACCATAATCAAGAAGCTTCCAACCTGAAACCCCTGGTGGTCGTGTGTTCCATGCGATGAATAAGCTCTACCTTCGCGCTTGGATTCACAAGAGCTTACAGGGAGCTTATCGGGGATTCCCCCGTCATGCGATAGTATCTCCCGACGATAAATCTCGATGAAAGTCGTCGTAGCCGGAGTAGGCTATAGATTCCCAGAGCGCATGTCGAATAAAAACGGGATAACGGATTACAGAAAACAAGAGAAAGGAAACAAGTTGGAAAGTGGAAGAGAAACGGAATACCGGATGAAACGACGGAGACTGGACGGTGAGCGGGAAAACGCGAATTGAATCATTAGGAGAGAAGTAAATACCAATGAAGAACATAACGACAGCGAGGGACAACATCGCAAGGGCGCTTATTGCAACGCACCCATAGCAAGCGCCGAAAGCCGCTGGTTGGCAAACGACGGCGCTGCGCTGTTTGTATATTCACAAACTGACTGAGCGGCGTCGAATATGTCTCAGGATATGAGATCATGTGATTCGTCATCCCCACCATTGCTGTGGGGACTCGGCCCGCGGATAGCCGAGCTCCAGGGAACGGAGGACCCAACCAACGCCGACGGGCGAATTCCCTCGCTATGCCGAGAACAGCGCCTTTTGATTTCTCAAAAATGAGTTGAAATCGTCATTGAGCTCGTATGAGCATCCGGAGACGAAGAGCCTTTGCAAAGAACCCGTTCGCTTAGCAGAGTCGGGGCATGAGCGCTCCGCGACTGCATGACCAGTACGGAAAGTGATTCGGAGTCTTGGACCTTCTTTGTACCTGCGATAGTATACATGCATGTCTGTTCCACGCTCGGCGGATGTCCCTTTTGCTGCGTCTAGCACGAACAGAGCTTGGCTATTGCTTCACGTACGGGCCTCTTCTCCTCCGATGCTCAGGAGCTTTACAGCCGGGATCAACGGTCACTCATCAGAGAGGAGATCCGATAACAAAGTTTCAGAGCTTCTGGTATCTCAGACGATAAGAAAGAATTCGCCGGTAAAGAACATCTCGCGATTTTGGGGAAGGATCGTGAACACTGGGGATACATGGGTCCACGGGATCTCAAGTTTGAATATTCCAGCTCGAATCCTCATCTCGCACCGTTTCGGGCATCCTTGAAGTCCAATGATTTAACATTAATCCGTGCTATGTGAACGAGAACGCATCCATGCCAACAAGTATTCCACTCTGGCTTATCTCATTATGCGGACTCGGTGGGAGTGGGAAGCACTAAGCTCTCCATTCCTAAACTCTGAACCGAAGTCCTATGATTCTGTAGAACTTCACACGGAGAGACGACAACACTGACATTGTGATTTTTGGATCTAGAATAGATGAGACTGGAATGTATTCAACAATAGCGATCCTGCGAATCCCTTGACCTCGCCAGAGCATCTGACGGGTGTGTGCTACAGTCCTAGTCGAGGCGATTCCAGGGACCGCGAAATTCGTCACTCGATCCAGATCGAAATTCGTCTGCGCCTCCCGTCACTTCCACCGAGAGTGGTTCTGATGCTCAGACACTCACCTCCCATGCTCTTCCGCGATACACTGTGTCAGCTATGTTGCTCCTCTGAATGGATCGCGTCGGGAGCTCCTTCGGAGTTATGCGAAATCGAAATGGAGACACCAAGATCGAGGAAACACATCTACCCATTCATCTGGGGTTGTAGAACGAACATACACTGCATCCGGAACTCCGCAGCCCCGTGTCCGGGAGTAGCTAAGACGGTAATTCAAGGATCAAGCCTCCACCCTGTCCATCTGTCCTATACGAAGAATAGTATTGCTTCTAGAGAGCTGCGGATTCTCCACCTTCTCGAGCATCCGGTGTCATGTCGAGCGAAGAATCGGCAGACTGCGAGGCTGGGCTTCTATTGGGAATACATGCGCATCGGGTTCCGGAAAATCTGATCCTCATTCCGCTTCTCTGATATCCGTTCGGTTTCGTGGATATGCTTCTGTGAAGTGCCCCCTTCGAGCCCAGGTATTGTGGTTCCGATGCTCGGCCTAAACGTGGTTGTACGAGAGTACCAGCACCGTACACAGGCGGCCTCCTAGAATATGTCGGTGGTTTCAGCCTCATTGACACACCACCATGTTCCCGCATGCATTCGATAGAAGACTTCATCGTTTTTGAATTCTATCGTTTCCTCGGAATTCGATATGGGCGGCGCCGGACGTATTATATTTCTGTGGAGTCGACCAGACGTCTCCACAGCGGGAATCAATCATAGAGATGGCAAGAGGGTTCAATGCTCTTGCAGTATTTCCTTAGCCCATAATCCCTTTCGTCCTGGTCCAATTGCGCTTCCCGGGTCGCTCTCGAGGATCGCAATGCCTCTCTCGATGGTATTCTCATATTTCTCAAAAGACTTCGAGGAAGATTCTCGACTCTGATGAAAAATCAGGGAGGTTGTGGAAACCGTTTGAAAACTCTTATGATCGATTTCTGACCCTTCCTCTCATCCTCTTGCTCGGATGCTGACTTATTGGAGTCTTGCGTTCTTGCTCCGTAATGCTTGGCTTGCGGGGAAATACTGTTGTGGAGCGCTCTCATCCGCCATTCTGACCGTAAAGACGACTAAATCGGGGCCGACATATCACGCTCGGAATCCTGAGAACCGCTGGAGACGCGCTTCTCGACCATCAATTCCAGTCTATCTGCGAGAAGGAAAATCCTCGAACCGAGAATAGATATGGCGGATATTCGAGTGAGGCAAGACACCGTTTCTCTTCAGAAAAGGAAGAAGCATCGACGGTAACGACGCTTCGATCAATGAAGCGACTCGCCGACGGGGAACGGGTGCCAACTGCCAGCGAAGGTACTTCACCTGTATCTCGAAAGAGACACCTGATATTGCATTTCCTTCCGCAGCTTCCGTTCGAACTACGCGTCGATTCGCACTAATCCCAAGCCCAGGTCCAAACTTTCGCTTTTTCGGAGGGGAACCTAGTCGCTACTCGAGAGACTCTCCATTCTTCGGGAATTTGTCCACTAACAATCGTCACATAATGGATCACGTGACCTTGATTTTGCACGCCACTCCCGCCCACATCGATTCGAATTCACTCTCTGAGCAATGAATGAGTGTACTAGAATGGAAATAGCAATGAGAGAGATTCTCGTTTTTTTTTTCCCAAGACACTTCTTGTTTTTTCTTTTGTCTAGGTTTCTGACTCGATCTCTGGGGTAGTGTCCGCCCGACTCGTTTCCACTTTTCGACAGAGAATGGGCCGCTCAAACAGCATCTGCCCCATTGACTCATTTGCCTCGGCATCTGACCACGAGAATGTCAATGACGGGGAACTCCGATGAAGGGTAAGCGCTAGCAGCGTACAGCTGACTCTTCCCTCTCTGGGTCCTCTTAATAAGCTTCCGAGAAGCATGGGGAGGGTCCTATTTGAACTCGAGTCGGATCGGACCGCGGAAATTCGTGGAAGATCCTCCAAACGGGAGGAACGGCCATGACGGTCTTGTTCAAAGGTTGCCGTTGCCTTGTTTTCATAAATATGTGCTACTAGATCGCTCCGATGCGGTGGCTGAACGAGCTCAGTAGAAGCTGAAGCTCGCTGCGCCGATTGGCTGGCCAACACTGCCTGGGTCTGCCGCTCTACAAGTGAAGGGTCTCTGTCTCCGCTTCTTCGTGGAGAGGGATAATCAGACCCTGTGCTAGGTGTTCTGTGTGAGACTGACTTGCTTTCTGCGTCTGTTCCCTTGGCGGTTTGATAAAATTACTGGCCCGTCGGTCAGTCGAGTTAGTGAGTCGATTCTGTTGCCGTTTGAACCGCTTCGTCGTGAATTTCGTCGTATGCCCGAGGATGCGATGGAGTGATGGCATTCCGTGGAATTTCATACGGGCTGAGCGCCGAGGTCGCCACCAAGGTAGAGAATATTGTACCTTATTCCGGCGCAATCACTCCTAGCCGATGCATCGATCGACCCGGGAACCTAGGTCTTCGATAACGCTCTCGACCTTCCTCTGGGTGGGTCCTCTTGACGTGGAGCACGTCTTGGAGCTCGCTGGGGAAAGACGAAAAGTGCCGCGATGTGACGCGACAAGTCTTGCCTTTCTCGGAGCTCAAACTGGTGTTCCTCCTTTCGAGTCCATGATAAGTTCATAGCCTCCACGGGAGCATTTTGACGGGAGCTCAGGTGTGATTGTCATTCGGGAGACGAAATGGCGGTTTGCTCGCGGAGCATCGGCCTGCTAGCTTCCTTCCCACAGCCATTCCGTCGCGAGTTCCGATCCCGAAGTATCTGAAGTCTTCTCTACCTCGCATCGGTGTCACCACTTCCGTGTCCTCGAACTTCTCGGGCGATTGTTCGACTGGGCTCCCGACAGTGTCCACAGACACATCTCGTCTCTCCGAAGCCAACGGATCGGCCAGCTAGCGAAAAATATAGTATCCGCTAGATCAGGCCCGCAAATCAATGTTCTTCGCCTCCGACTCCCGATAGTCGTGGCTCGTGTGCGATGGATGCACGCGAATAATATCCGAGAAATTTAGAATCTCCATTCTGACGTCGGGCCTCTACGCTCATCAGTTCAAAAAATGAATTCAGACCTCCTTCCACTACGTCTACCGCGCGCAACGTTCGCACGCTCTGCACTAAGGGAGAGCCGAGGCCCCAGCATCCGAAAGCAGCACCTGCGATCCGGAGAATTCGCTTCTGCTCACCTGTATACTTCGCTCCATTGAGGAGGGAGACGACGTATTAGACCTGGTCCCGATGTCCGTGCAGATCCTGGCATCGACGGGAAGAGGTGGGGGGGTCCCTTTGTGGTGCATTTGAGACCGGAAGGGTCCTCTCATATTGTTAGATGCCCGGAGTGGTGGTTGTGGAATCGCTACAAAGAAATCGGGAGGACTACCGAATGAAAGCATCAGCTTCGACCCACGCACCTCAAACGACTCGCGGGGAATCAATATTTCGTTAGGGAATAGAAGCTGGAACCCTGCCAGGCTCGCGTCGATCGGGCTCGCATACCAGTCCAAATATCGCTTTCATCAATTTCTACCCGCTGACCGACGTGGCGTATCTCCATTCGAAAATACATTTCCTAGCGATAAACTAATTGTATCTGATCCGACCAAGGAGCTCCGCAGTCCGAAAGGAGTCCTAAGTTATAACTTATTCTCCTACCCGCAGATTGCATCGAAGCGGGACCCGGAACTCGAGGGACAAATTCTTAGCTGGATAGAAGACGTAGTAGGCGAGAAATCGCCACACGGATCCTACGAGGAGGTGCTAAGAGACGGCATCATTCTGTGCAAGTGCGGCGATTCCGCTGGCTGGGCTAAGATTTCTGTCTGAATTTCTATCGCTCCGATCTGTACGTCGAGTTGGATGCTAATAATTTTCTCTCCCGCTCAGATTGATGAACGCGATCAGTCCTGGGAGCATAAAGAAGTACCACACATCGGGAACGCACTTCAAAAAGATGGAAAATCTCACCAAGTTCACCATCGCGTGTAAGGAGTACGGCGTCGATGAAGCTGACTTATTCCAATCGGTAGACTTGTGGGAGAGACGGAACATACCTCAGGTCTCTCAATGCATTTTGGCGTTGGGTCGAACGGTGAGTTATAATTTCCTTGACTTTTAGCATACATCCGGCTATCCCTCCCATAGCTCCCCCTCACCCCTACCCGAGAGATTCTCTCGGATCCCTCCGATCATTGCAGCCGAATGAGGTGAGTCTCGCCTCAGCACCGTATCAGCGGACATGCCTCTAGAAGTTAGATGCCTGAATGTAACTCGTTATTGTTCGGCAGTGTTATTCGCACCAGGAGTACGCTGGTCCTTGTCTCGGGCCGAGGCCCGCAGATCGACAAGTGAGGCAATTCACTCGAGAGCAGTTACGGGCCGGGCAGTCTACAATCAACCTGCAGTATGGAACGAACAAAGGAGCGACTCAATCAGGACAGAACTTCGGCCTGACGCGACACATGTGATCGAACCCAGGTGGAATGATGATTCGAGTTACGTCATGAATTCATCATTGGGCTCTCTCGCTTGTGGGAAGCGATCGTCTCCCGGAAAATATTCGTCTGGTATCCTTGTACAATGGATGTAAATAAAAGTGCCGAGTCACTTGAGCGCAGGGGCGGTTCGCATTTGATTATCATCATTCCTCGGTCTTGTCGTATATTCCGCTCGTCGCTACGCGAGAGGGGATACCGCCAATCCGGGAGACCGGGGGTATATTAATCCTATCCCAACTCTCGATATCGCGGAGAGCTCCCGATCGGGCGAGACAGGATCTTGACCCCTCTGATCTTCGGCCCGCAAATATTCAAATTTCGACTAAGCGACTCAGATCGATCAGTTCTTATCATGAGCATGGGAATGGATTCGTGGGTTGGCGAGGAATCAGGGCCCTGTTGAAACTGGCGGTTTTGGGCTCGGTCGCCTGCCAAGGCATCGATACCGCCTGGAGAGCGCCTACCTGACCGTAGATTCGAATAGATTTTCTCCAAGCAGTTGAGAAATCTCGTACAAGAATTCGAATAAGGGATCCGCTAACAAGTCACGGTGCAGTGTTAGAAGAGAATCAAAAATCATTCTCCAGAGATGAGATTCGGTAAGGGGACCAGGCGAATAATGAAGCTCGTTGTGAGAGAAGTCCATGATTCGTCGCGTGTCCCTCCTGTCCCTTACAAAGCCATCTACATGAAAATCATATCGTGACTGCGAGGCTCTCATATGAGGCGCTTTCGGAACGTGACTGCTAAGGCGCTTTCGAAACTGAAAAGGAGAGGACAGATGCTTTGATTCGATCGAGAAGGGGGAGACAGTGCTGGGACCAGGTCCGACAGTTTGAAGATCATCGGTCTCTCTCCGCAGAGTCATGGGACTCTGGGATGGAGACCGATGGCTCCATCATGGGATGGAGCTCTGAACTGAGAGGATTTTCGAATGGTCAGCACATTTGTCATCAGTAGTGCCGAACGTTCATAGACGCCGACGCGACGACGCAGCGGCGCCGCATAGGCGAACGTTTGCAGTCGAGAACGATGTGCCCTTCCCCGATTCAGGTTTACCGTCGTCTCGCATTTCCGCTCAAGCCCACGATGAGTCATCTCGGGCGGCGTGGGTACCCTCTGATGGGAGGAGTTTGGAGAGCAAACCTGGGGTCCGATTCTGATGCACGTCTTCCTTGAGACAATCGAACAGCGACAATCGAAGTACCATGCACCGGATCGTGAAGGAAACCCGAAACCGCGGAAAGAATCCTCCGCTCCCATCACCCCCGGGCAGCACACCCAGAAATTTTCTTCCCATAAGTCAACTCCTGGACGACAAAAATATTTATATACCCTCAGCGTCTAAAGACGGTAGCAATGCAATTCTGAGGAAAAGCAGAGCGATTCCCCGCTCGCTCAATCAGACGTGAAGTTTCCCGCCGCTAATGAAAGTGGAGCAAGGCGTTGAGGCGAGCTTTGGATTCGATGGAACGGGCCCACGTGGCTCACCGTGAGGAGACGAAACGGGAACAATGTTGGCAGGCCAACATCCTGGCAGGAGTACCAAGTTGAATGATTATCAATGTCTGCAAAAAACGACCTGAAACCCGGATCGAGGAACTTCGCCTTATGAGCAGTCAGTCACTGGAGAACCAGACTCTTCGGTGAACGCAACTCAGCTTCGTCGCTGGAGACTGGCACGGACCCCAATCGAAACACTGAAGGGCCTAAGCTCAGAATCGGCACCCCGCATGTCAGGTCCGACTAGCGGAAAATCAGTTTTTTCTTCCGGGTTTCTGGCTCCCAGACTGCGAAGCCATGAGTAGGCTTTGCGACCGCGGTTAATAACCGCAAATGCGGTTTTTCTTCAACATGGGACTCTATGGGGGACAGCGAATAACCGCAGTCGATAACCGCGGTTTTCCATGAAAGCGCTTTTTCGCGAAGCCTAGCCAAGAGTGCAAAAATCCATCTGTGCTCCCGAGGAGATGGACAGACATCCAAATGTGACGCTTCTTCATCGCTCCTTGAGACTCCTCGCACCAGAACTACTCTCGCCTCGCGTCCACTGCATCGAGAGCGATTCGAGCTAGAATCCTAAGAGCGTGACGTCTCTACTGAACAATACTCTTTAGGGGGGTCCATGAAGCCCTCGAAAACCCAACTCTCACGCACGCGGACATTCCGCGGATTTGACCGAAAAACGGACGATCCAGTTCATACCCGACGTGTCCGGTGGAATCGCGGCTCGATCCGCGCCTCATGAGGGTTCCAAAGAAGGAAATTTAGAGAAGCCGACCGAGAAGATGGGGAAGAACCTAAAGCTGGCGGAATCCGGCGAACTCCTCTGGCAGTCATCAATGCTCAGCTGAAGATGTCATCAGATCGCAGGCATATTGCCGTCGACGTCGAGTCTATCATTCTTCGTGCCGGCTTGTCCCAATTTTTAGACTCCGCCACCCGGAAATCCCGAGTCTGAAAAATATCTTCCCGGATCTTGAAGCCCGTAAGAGGGAGACGAATTTTAGAATGTCGGCATACATATATGACGATGTTTGGTCCTTCGGCGAAGTAAACTGTCTTCAGTCTATGATGTGGATTACAGCCATGCCTCCACCATGCGCTTCGATATCGCGGCGATACCCATGGAAGCGGGTGATATCTGATGAGTAGAATTATAGGAGTCAATAACGGACCGTGTCGGAGTGCCATCCGGAATCCCTGGTTTTCTAATGCGGTCAACGATATGCCGCTTCTCGCGGGGATTTCTCCCAAAAAAATCCTGTTTCATTGAATGCAATACTCCAAGATGCCGCCTTCAGAAGTCCTCGGTGATACGCCCCGCACACACCGATCCACGGTGCTAGGCATCGATCGGAACAAGGTCGTCTCATTCCTAGAACGGAGCTGAAGGGCTCATATAGAGGAATCGCCCGTGGTTTCATTCCAGAAAACAATGATTTACTCAGAAAGAGATACACATTGCCATCGCAGTCGGCACAGTCTGAAATTGAATCTCAAAATGTTGAAGATAGAGCCGAGCGTCGCATCGAGCGAAAGCATCGCATACAAGCATAGAGGTACAAGCTGAATCAAGGTCTCAAAATAACTTTACTCGCAGACAGAGTGTGCATTCAAGCTGGGGCAATCGGGTTTGTCGGTCGCATGGGACGAAAGACGCTCGTGAGCTTGCTCGGAATACGGGGAAGCGACTCATTGTCAGCTGATTTCGGTTTGAGTCATTGAATGACGAATGATTCGAAAAACTGGATTTTATTGTGTCAAAGTTAGATACGACTTCCATGTCACACAACGGAGGATGTACTACTCTAGACTCTAAACAATGGAGAAGGGTAGGACATGAGAGAGGGCAAGGAGTAAGACGGAGAGGGCTCACAGGTCCGAAGCCGGTTTCGGTAGCGAGCTCAGAGGATTGTCGTCTTTCGCGCACTCGCATGTGCAAGCTCGCGGTTCTCCCCACCCATGTTTTGGCAAATCCAAGCCGCAGTCGAAGATTCTGGCCGCAGTGGCCGACTTCGCTCTCCGACGTAAGATAAGGGAACCGAGTGATTCGATTGTTCGATCTTAGAGCGACTCGTTCATGGGTACTTCTCGAAGCCCTGCCGCCAAAATTAGGATTACTCTTCGAACGGATGTTCCCCTTCTTGGAGGGGAGAGCTCCATTCACCAAAGTCCGTATGCTTGCTACTTCCGAAGCAAACCGTCCTCCCATGCGTGGACGGTGGACTGAACTCGACAGTGACTTCGGGAATTCTGATTCGACGAAAATCGACTTTCCTCTATCAGTCATGAAATATGAACATTCGGCCTGTGTTACACGTGATCCACCAGTTGCTGGTCGCATTCAAGATGTTCGGGGCCGCATCGGGGGCTGAATCTGCGAAGACAGAGCTCGCACTGAGAGCGGTGTTGCTGAGTTCACATGATCCTGTGCTTCCACGCGCCGGTCGGCTCCGATGATGTTGTCGCTGATCGGGAACAGTTCCAGTGGAGCGTATGGATTATCTGTTCCATCCGATGGACCTCCTCCTGAATACATGGATCCCTATGAGGACTTTACTCAGATATCTACCGTTTGGCTCAGCTTCGTTTCTGCATTTGTGATCATATGGATATTAGCTCTAAGTGGTAAGCAGTCGATTGATCGGTCAGATTATTGTTATTATTATCGTCCTCATAGGCCAAAAGAGCGCACGGCTATCGTGCATTGAGTGTGCGTGGGCGATTACTGTTCCTCCGCGCGGGCAATTCGACCACCTTGACCTTTTGTTTGGGCAAATAGCTCATCGGAAGGGGTACGTCCTACGCCATCAACGGAATGGCTGTCATCTCTCTCTCGGCCGGTGAAAGCTCACCTGTCGCCCGACCTCTTGCGTAGAGCCTTCGGGTTGGTCTCGATCATGTTCTAGGCGCTCTTCTACATCGCGAGGAATATATACACGGGACGCCTGTATCCAAGAGAAAAAAATCGTGAGAAAAGAAGTCCCGCGATGTTGACGACGCGCACTTCGATCGAAAGAACAGCTGCCCGCTGATTCTAGCATACGTGTGATCGGGCGATGGAGACGCATCAGATGCTCGTGCTCTATTCTGGCTGTGGGGAGCTGTCAAGGTCGGCAAAACATCAGGGATAGGAGGGGGTCGGAGAACCCATCCGACAAGCTGACTCTGTGTTTGTCACCAGGTAACGCCATGGTCATCTACACCGTGTGGAGTAATCGTCGAATGCATACAGTGGTCAACTATTACATCGTCAATCTCGCAGTCTGTGATTTTGCTGTCGGAGCGTTTGTTCTGCCAATGAAACTCTTGGAACTGGCTACCCCTGCAACGCTCTCTTTCATGACGGATGAATTGTGTACAGCTATGTTGTATCTGCAAACGATTGTTGTGTTCGCCAGCGTTCTCACCCTCGTGGCTACCTGTCTTGAAAGGTAAGCTCCTCGATCAGGCTCACGGATGATTCTGAGGGAGAGATCCCAGAGCCGGCCTTCTGGCTACTGGCTACTCGATGTCTCACTAAGACCTCGAAGAGGAAAAGAATGAGAAGACTATCATCTACTGATATTCACACCTACATGGAACGATATCCGACATCTCGACGAGGTTCGTCGTCTTCCTCGCAGTTTTGAGTTTTCGCAAGAGCCTTCGAAGATACACTCCCCTGCTTCGGGACGAGCGTTTCGGCGGGAGTTACTATATGTACAGTACCATAGCTTCGTCCAGCTGGTACTTTCCGTCGGTTGCTTTTCCCCCGCTTGACCTTCTCCCTCCCCTCCCGCGCCGTGATGCACGGTCCGTAGGGAGTATATGCGCCAGGCGATTCGGGACGAGGGAAATAGATGATAGATACGATTGCAAAATATTTGCGAAGTTGAGATCTGGCGAGTTTCCTACCGGACCAAGGGGTGCATTCTCCAGTCATAAGTGTTCGAGTACTGGCTCAAGGCTCCGCGGATGAGAGGGAGCCAGAAAAGCCCCTCGTAATTAGAATCCCTCCTAATCGACTGAACGTTGCAGGTATTTCGCCATCTGTGACCCGCTCCTGAGCCGGATGCAATTGCAGTCCAAGCGACGCGCGAAAAAGATACTTTTTGTGGTGTGGACGGCTCCCTGTATTGTGGCATCTCCGTTTTTGTATCCACTTTCTAGAGCAGACACCGACACCTTGGTTTCTGACCTCGGATCCATCACCCGTACAACATGCATGATAACCATCAAAGAGCCGTTTCGTCAGGGCTACTACACCTTCCTATTCTTCACCATTTACCTTCTGCCTTTAACGTTCATTGGTGAGTGTCATGCACAACCGGAAAACGAAGTCCCGATTGGATCTGGAGAACCAATCGTGTTTGTCACACAATTGGCTGTTTTACCTAGAGGCTCAAATGGATCGCGCCCACCCTCTCATCGGATATGGCGCATTTTAGAGGATCCGGCACGAATTCACTCCCTACAGGCTGAGGTAACATCCAAGGCGTGCGCGCCCCCTAATTCATCAATTTTCAACGGAATCGAAGAGCGTCCGAAGGAATTCTAAATCCAGCGACCGGCTGAGTTTGTGCTGCACACATGAGCGATGAATTTTACTTCGCTCTTCTCCGCGCACCGCCTAGATTCGGCCGCATCTCAGTATCCACATTGCTTTCGATGCGTCGACCGAGCATCGAGGTTTCCCTCCGAATGAGCTTTATAGCTCTCGGTGCTGCTGCAGACTGGTGCTCTCGGAAACGCTGTTTAAGGATGCCTTACTCTATAACCAGAACACATCGCTCGCCAGCCTCTATCCACCATGCGATGTATGCGTGGTCCGACCTGCGCCTCGCCTTCCTTGCGACACAAGGAAAAATCTTAGTTCGAGTCGCATTTCTGCGAGCCCAAATTATTCTAAGTGACAGCGATAGCGCATGTACTCAAAAAGTATCCATCTCAGTCGGTCAAGGCATCCGGATGGGGAGCCATCATATCATGGTTCTCGGTTGTTTCTCATGAGGCAGAGCCCCAGAATACCCAGGACGGACGCGTGACATAGGACGTCTATCGTCGGGCACCTTATACTATCAGAATGTATGTGCATATAGGCGTGGATGTGCGTATATCAACGAATTATCATTACTATGCATACATATGTAGTACTTACATCCCGAAGTCCTGCCTATGGGGGACTCTCCAGATGGAGGACTGCTACATTCATGTTCAAGGGATCGAAGTTCCCCCAACATCCGAGCTCTGGGGAACGGGGGATCCCTCTTCGGAGGGACTTCGGTTGTACATTTTGTAGCGTGACATTAGAAACGGATGGCGCTACGAGCGCCCCTTAATTCGGCCATGCTACCGATTCTGAACGTCCTCCTTCGAGGGGTCGTTGCGGACATGCCCGCAGCGGGCAGCAGGAGTTGACGGCGTGCGGAGCACTGCCTGACAAAACTCCGACAGATGTTTCGGCCTGAGAGGGACGCGTAATGACACCTTTTGCCTCGGCGCTCTCTTGCAAGTCTCAGAGCCTTCCTCAGCGACCGATGGCCTCTATTGATCGTCGTGCCACCTTTGGCCGCCTGAGCGGCGACCCCGAGGAATTACGGGCACGGATGACTCTGAGGGCACCTTTCTGCGGATAGGTGTCCTTCGAAACCGACAAATCAGGCGATTCTTCTTAGTATACTCACCCACACGACGACGAAGGCGTTTACCAAGATCATCGCGTTCCGGTACGCGGCGTTCCATACCCCGGATCCCGAGATGCTCCAGATCTCCATCATCCAGAATACACCATATCATGACCTCCTCTATCAGAGAACCAGGATCAGACAAGCGATGATGATGTATTTGGAACTAGCTGCGGCTTCCATAGAAACAGATGGCGCAACGAGTGCGGCTTCAATATACATATCCTACGGCACTTCCTTATGGATGACACTCCATGCGATCAGATTACGAAGGATTGCGGCCGACATCGGATCTCTGCCACGGAATTCTTCGCCGCTCCATTCTTCTGCTCCAAGCTGTGACCTTGTGGCCCTATTCTTTGGATCTAAGGCTGACGAACGAGTATAATTAAGTGATCCGGAAGCGAGACTCGTGATGGTGACTCTTCCGACAACCACGATGGAGTCCGCGAGTTCGGGAGACCTCCTTTCTTCATGGAGTGCTAAAAAGTATGTGGACAGCTACGAGCTCGCTTGGTGTCGCTCCGATTGGGGTTGTCAGATGGCTACTCCGGCCGACGATTCGGGCTGACTGGGACTTACTCTGCCCCTTCGAGCGGGACTCACGACGAGCATAAGTCTCATTGTCAACCCGCAGGCGATTAGAGCCTGCTGGTGGGTCTATTTACTGGCCTGTGTCTAATTTATAGACTCAAGCAGTAAGATGCAATGCGAGTGACGAGATCTCCCTCGTAGAGGAAAGTCTCGATATGAGCATAGGGAGGCTCTGTCACCAAACGATCTGGGTATCACTGAATAGCTCGAGCTTAGTTTGGTTGAGGGTCAGCGAACTTAATAAATTCGAGTCAAGCTTCTCGGGTCTCCCTCGGCGCCGGCGAACTGGACGGGGGAACCCCTCTCCGGTCAGACAGGTTGGAGAGTGGTTTCTCCGGACGCGACAGGGAACGTCGGCGTAACAGGAGCGACAGGGACTCGAGAAGAGACCAGTCTTCTGCTCTGCGAGATCTTTTCGAGAGTCGAATTGTCTCACAACCCGCGTGGTCCCCGCTATGGTCACAACTCCCCGAAACCGGTAGACCAAGACATCGAAAATTCCATTCGCGTAACGTCAGCTGCTCAGCCTCTTCCATCGACTTCATCTGCAGGCTCATTTCTGAGCCCTGTTAATAAGCTGGCTACTGGAGTAGCATCTTCGACGTTCATCGTCGACTCCTTTCTATGGATCCCTCACCGAATCAGGAGTTCCCCTCTGAACTCTCACGCCTGTTTAGAGGAAAGGCTCCTCAATGCATCGATCTCTCGGCTCCCCATGATCGACGGATGGTTTGCCATGGGATTTTGTAAGGAAAGTCCGAGATTGTATGCTCATCGGAACGACCCAAGTCTGGAGAACCTAACTTCAGCGTTCTCGATACCAAAACAGTTCGTGGAGGATCATGTTCATGAGGATCTGAGCGTTCCTCAGACCAGGAGGGGGGGAACGGAATCCATCGAGCCGATCCAATTGACTTCCTCGCCTGATGTGTATCGAAGTTTCCGTATGTCTGAGCAGATCTCCGACTTACGAGTCTCCGCCCGTGACTTCTGTGGACTTGGAGATGTGGGCGGAATCAATCATCACGACAGCATCCAGTGCGATTCATCATTAGAGTTCCCTAATTCCGAACATACCATATGTATCAAATCGCTTGGAGCGGATCGACGAGGGAATCGCCTCTGATGAGTCCACCCTGTCGCCGTAAGATGTGGGAAACGTCAAAATGAGGATACTGAAATCGTATCTACCCTTATACGAGGTCATTCCTCCAGCCTAAGCGTCATCCTTGTCGGTGACTCGCTTAGCCGGAAAACTAAAAGGTCCAGAATCCAGGATCTCCCATCATGATCCGATTGCCTGCCAGCTTCGCATTGAGCGCTCCCCAAAAAAATCGATAGAAAGGATAAAACACCTAGAGACGGGGAGCATCGTCAGCAGGCTGTCGGGAATGTTTTGCCTTTTTTGTCGGTTCACTGAGGCCTCCGACGCGACGGTGGGAGTGATCACGGCCGCTGATGTTCGCAATACGAGCCTCGAAGAGGTCCTCCATCAAAGTGACGCCAGATCTTCACGACACAAGAATTATATCGCTGTTTGCTGCAGAGTCGTTCTCTCCTAAGCAATGCCGCTCAATGGCATCCAGCCTCCGTCCTCCCTCGACTCCGTTCCTGCCCGCGCGAAATGGTACTTCATTAGTTTTTTAATTCCATTGGTTACATCAAGGGCCGCCGAGGTCAGGCCGGCGGTCGGGACCCGGAGGACACGACCCGACAAATAGGATTTGCACCATGCCAGAGAGTGATCGTGATCAGTGAAAATCAACAGCGAGGGAAGAGCGTCAATCCGAGGAACCGAAAGCCTCTGCCGGATTCATTGAAGGCACTACGACGCTGAAAAACCTACTCGAAGCATCCAAGATGAATTGTTTCATCTGCAGCAGGACACTTCCAGTGGAGCACTGTGGGATAAAGCAATGAAGCCACATTGGTGAACAGAAAGACTTACAGCGCGGGAGAGGAATGGCAACAATTGGGACGAAGCACATTTTTCGGACAACTCGGCGAGGAAAGGGGTTAGGCTGATAGGTCGGTGATTGCTAGGATCGTAGGCGTTCTCCTCACCCCTCAGAAGCGGAACGACCTGGGCGTGCTTGGAGGCAAAGAGAAATGTTGTGGAGATTGAGGAGAGATCGTGGATGAATGCAATTGGGACAGAGAGAGTTGGTGATGCAACACCGCGGACCCTGGAGGGAGATATCCGTGAGAGAGCTGGAGTCCGTGACCTTGAGCCCGACGAAAACAGCTGCGAGAGAGATTGGATCAATATAAGCGATTCCGAATGTCGTTCAATGGGTCCAACGCTCCGATAAGGGACATGCCTGAACAAAGCTGGCTCTGATCGAGGCGACGAACTATGCCAAATGATCGAGGGTTGCCAGCGCGTAGGTAGAAGATCCAGAGCATAAGTAGGACAGCATTCCGAGGCGGGCGGACCGCCCACGGGATACATAAGCCTCCATACATGTCGACTAGAGCAGCCTATATTGGTGATAATTCAGCGCGGGCGATGGAGATGAGTTCACGGTATGGCTCGATTCTGTCATATAAGCGCCGGCTCTCAGCGAGACAGTTCAGGCAGAAGAATCAGTAGTAACCGCTTTCGTGGAGCCTATCCCGGATCTGAGCAAGGGATCCCGTGTGTCATGCCCGGTAACGGCGTTGAGTGGAGACTCTCTCAAAACATTCATCATAGATATCGAACGCCACGGGGATGAAGTCACTTCGACAGCACGGAATGAGCAGAGAATGCTCCGATCCATAAGAGAAGGTTTAGCGAAACATCGAAGTGATGAGCACCGAAAATGGGTCTAGAAGGAGGCACAAGCGAGCTGATACAAGGGACAGACAATATCGTGATCCGAGAACTCCGATGCAGCCAGGCACTGATACGTCCTCCGCCGTCACCGGACTGTCATTAGCCATGGGACATGATCCAAGCATGTGGAGAACGAGGAACGGGTGACGAGGCGATGACATGCACTGAGGTAGAGGGGGTGCAAAACATCCGAGATAGCTGGCATTCTGTGAGA